TCTCTCTCTCTCTCTCTCTCTCTCTCTCTCTCTCTCTCTCTCTCTCTCTCTCTCCTCTCTTACCGTAGAACTCTTGTGTTTTGGGCCTATTTTCCTTAAAACTTTATTTTTATTCCAAACTGTGGTGGCTGTCACTTAGAGAATTGGAAGAGAAAAGTGGTGCAAAGGGATGGGAGGGGAAGGGGTTGAGGGTAATGAAGGGGGAAAAACCCACAAAGACAACAGATAGACGAAAAAAGAAAGACAACATTTTAATGGAAGAATTTAAAGCGTACATTCCAACGCCACGTAATTTTTTATTCTTTACGTCCACCATTTCTTCGCTTTGGGAGGTAGCCTACGTAATGTCTTAGCAGCGAATGGTCTACTGTTTGCCATTATAAATATTCGGGCCGCGGTAAACCACGGGGACCAACCTTCACTCCCTCTTTACGGTGGGACAGAAATCACCATGGATCGATATACAAACTGGACACCGCTAACATGCGACGTAATACGTTTCTGTGGACAGAGCTAGGTACGTCAGAACTATAACATGCCAGTGGAACCGGTTGAGCCGACTGGGAATGCCACGGAGGGAGGGGGGAGGGACGGGGAGGAAGGGGGTGGGGGTTGCATATCTTATATTTTTTAAATAGGTTATCGAAACTAACAGGGATAGGGGGCCCTATTTTCCTATTTTGGTGAAAAGGGTTAGGATTCATCACTATCCCCAGTTTATGTCTTTTAAATGTACATACCATGTAATGCACACACACACAGACTATATATATATATATATATAACACAAATCTAGCCCATCAGGGAACCTGCCTGTTTGCTTTAAAAAGGAATAGCCCTACAAGAATCGAATCAACAATTCAGAAGCAATCTGATGCCTTCCTCTCGGCCAGTAAGCATTGCCACCCACGACCTTAGTGGCATTGAGTCTTATGAATAAGGTGGACGATGTTGGATGTGCACTGTTCTTGGAGCAATGAACAGACAAAAGGAGCTTGTCGGCTTTTAGGCAAGTATTGGGAGGGGAATAACCCGACAAGGGCAGTTGTCGGATTATTGCACCAAGGGAACACGAGTGTCATAAAGCGACAAAGGTACATTTTGTGGTTTTTCGTCTTTAATTACGACTTGTTGTAAATAAATACAGCATGGTCATATGCAGAAAACAAATGCGAACAATATATTATCTGCGTGTCTTTTTCCATCATGACAGGGTGTACAAATGAATGAGCTTTTTGGCTCTCCTGAAAAATTGCAAATAGGCACTTGTAGGGTTCTTGCACCTAGCCAGCAGGAAAGTAGGGAATAAGCTTACGAAGTTAAAATCTTACTCTTACCCGCATAGCAACTGGTCACAACGGCCAGGGTGAGACAACACATGTATGTCAAGTTGTTCATTCTGAGGCTATAATACTTTACAAAGTTTCAACAGCACTCCCTGTGAACAATAAATATCGGCATTTATGAGCAATAATCATTTGAGCTAACACACTTAGTTGGAATTTTAAAGAGAGCACCCTGAAAGAACTGTCGCGATTCCACTTTGCAGACAGAATGGAGGAGCCAATAATCGCGAAATTTTAGATAATAGTAGTATACCGATATTACTTTTTTCTGATGGGTTAACACTAGTCTTAGGAGGGGAGGGGAGGGGGTCTCACAGACCCGAACAGTGCTTTAAATTCAGAGAACATCGTTAAAGTTAGGGTTAGCCATTGAATTAGATTCAGGTTTAGCGCTGAAATTAGAGGAAAGGAATCGATGTTATCAAGATTCTGAAATATCATTCGTTTTTTTTGCGACTTCAGTATTGGAAAATATGGAGCTAACTCCATCAATATAATAGTATACGACATTAGGTATCGATTTTACCAGTGAGTAAGTTTGTTGGTATCACCGTGGTTGTCAAATATTAAAGAGTTAAAATGAAAGTAATAGAAGTTTGTAGTCAGGTTTAACATTATATTTTTGCTATGCTTTTAGAAATAAATAATGACTGACAGTTCTGCTCTGCTAAGACAAACTAGAGCTCCCGAGAAGCCCCTAAAGACCGCTAAAGGTGTTTTATACTTTGCTAAATTACCTCGTTTTTCTCGATGAGATAGGCTATTAGAATCTAACACTACTTGATAAGGTGTTATTTCTAAGAGATTAAGAGATACAAGAGAGAGAGAGAGAGAGGGAGAGAGAGAGAGAGAGAGAGAGAGAGAGAGAGAGAGAGAGAGAGAGAGAGAGAGAGAGAGAGAGGAGGAGGAGGAGGAGGAAGTCTCTACACAGAGAGAGTGACAGAGAGAGAGAGAGACAGGGACAGAGACAGCCAGAGAGAGGTGGGGAAGGGGATGGCAGTCCCAAATACAGAAGACACACAAAAGCAGAAGTGAATTTACCTTTATGGTGAAAATCAAGTCGCAGATAATTCAATGATACCCGCTTTTATATAGCATTGCTCAAATTAAGAAAAATGTGCCGATATTATGTCTAACCCCTTGATCACTTTTCGACCTTCCCCAAGGACGCTTCGTCCTGCATCCGGCATGCTCGGCACTTCAGACCTCACTCATGATTTTGTTCATCACTCATGGCATCATTATGGACCACCAAATGCCATTCATTCATTCTAGTGTCGTGCAATCCCACGCAGAGTAGGGACGAATAATAAACAGGCCAATACCAGCATCAGAACATAGAAATGTATCCGAATGTCGACAGTCATAGATACGTTTGAGACATAATGCTTGTATTTGACAAGACGATTCTGTGGCTATGTAACTATTATTTTACAATAGAAATTAATAATCACGGTGTGGCCAACCACAGTAAGTCAGTGAATGATGTTGCCATTTTCAAATAGACAATAATATTCACAATTGTTTTTGTAGCTGCGATAATATCATAATACCTGTTACAAAGCTGAGTGGCAATAGAGATGACGGCTTTCGAGAGCAGGGAGCCTAAAATACATGCAATTCTTGTCTGGGGGATGACATTGTCCCAGTCTTGTCTTATGTTGTTGACCCGCATCCGTAAGGTCCTGGGTTCGAATCCCGTCAGGGGCCCGACGTTGTGTTCTTGGGAAAGGCACTTCACACGAATTTTCCTCACTTCACACAGGTGGGAATTGGTACCCGGCTATAGACAGCGAAAGATCTTGTCAGTTTGTTAGGGTTTGAGCGCTTAATCTGCTGCTTGCACCGTATGCTTCCCGGGAAGCTGAGAATGTTTCGGAGTGTTCAATGCGCATAGAGTCTGCTGTTGAGCGGGGATATGCGCTATATAAAAGCTATTTATTACTATTTATTATTGTTGTTGTCTTATGTTGTTGTTGTTGTCTATGTTATTGTCTTATGTTGTTATTGTCTTATGTTGTTGTTGTTGTTGTTGTTGTTGTTGTTGTCTTATGCTGTTGTTGCTACTGTTGTTGTTGTCTTATGTTGTTGTTTTATGTTGTTGTCTTATGTTGTTGTCTTATGTTGTTGTTGTGTTGTTGTCTTATGTTGTTGTCTTATGTTGTTGTCTTATGTTGTTGTCTTATGTTGTTGTCTTATGTTGTTGTCTTATGTTGTTGTCTTGTGTTGTTGTTGTCTTATGTTGTTGTCTTATGTTGTCTTATGTTGTTGTCTTGTGTTGTTGTCTTATGTTGTTGTGTTATGTTGTTGTTGTTGTTGTTGTTGTCTTATGCTGTTGTCTTATGCTGTTGTCTTATGTTGTTGTCTTATGTTGTCTTATGTTGTCTTATGTTGTTGTTGTCTTATGTTGTTATATTATGATGTTGTTGCTAATATTTTATGGATTTTGCATTAACTTAGGAGAGTACACTGCATTGTTCTGTGGTTTACCCACTTCTGTGGAGTAAGGTGACATAGAGTGAGGAGACTATCAGTGCGTAAAGGTCAAGAAACGTTACAAATAGTCACAATCCAAGCAGCGGTCAATTTGTGAAAAGTGTAAGAATGTTATTCATACAATGTGTAATATATAATGTCGTTTTATGTTTATTTTTGCCCTTTTGATATGGGACCAGATGTTGCGGTTTAAAATAGATGTACTTTTTTGCACATTTAATTTTGTTGGAGATAGAAAACTCAATCTTTTATTAATATGCTTGCTAAGGTGCTGGACCAATTATTATCTACTGTTGGAAAGGTATGAGCCTACACACTATGTTTGGAGATATAGAACAGCAGCCATGTATATGAATTATTCTATTTAATATCATTTTGAGTTTTAATGCTTTGATTTATAAAATGAAATACAATTTGCTTTGAAGAGGAATTTAAGCATTTTGATTTCTCTCTTTCCCTATATATGTACACAAGCAAAAACAAACGTTTGTATGCATGCATATGTATGTATGTATGTATGTATGTATGTATGTATGTATGTATGTATGTATGTAT